ATTAGAAACTAAAAAAGAAAATAATAATTTAGATAACTATAATACATTATTTTCTTATAATTTAATAAATTTAGTAAATGAAGATAATGAGTTGAAATTTGAATATTTCAAAAAATTTATTTAGAATCATTATCAAATAATTCAGATTTATTTATGAAAGAGTTTATTAATTTTGATATTATCGAAGTATTAATGTTAATATTTGATGAAATAAAAAAAATTTAGATGAAACTGAAAATACAACTAATTGGACTTTAGATAATATTTTAAAGACTAATTAATAAATAAATAAATTTATATATATGTTGTAAAAAGCTCCAAAGTACCTTCAATCATTTTCTTATTTATTTTATTTTTTTTATTTTTATTTTTTATTATATCGTTTTTTTTTTTAAGTAGTGCTTAATATAAATATATAGTTATAAATAGTTAGTGTTAGTGTAAACCCTAAAAATAGAAAGTACAAATAAATCCTTACCATAGCTGAAGATTACAAAAATTTCATTTATTGCTAATTAAATTTATAATATCAATATTAAAGGTGCTAAAGATATTTATGTAATTAAAGGAATTTGTTAGTTTAGTAGAATAAGTATCATTTGAGTGTAATAAGAATGTAAAAAATTATAAAAGCAATACTTTTTCTTTCAAATAAAAACTAACTTATTGAGTTCATATCTTTAAAAAGTATTGTAGAAATATGAGTTTCTAAGTAGGAATTCCTATTAAAAATTTCATTGTTTATAAAAAGTCATAAAACCTGTTCTTGTAAAAATCGATATCTTAAGTTTAATAAAAATAATAAGAAAGCATTATATATACTGTATATACTAATTAAACTACTAATTATGATATTGTTTGATCGATTTTAACTTTGTAATTATCTTCCTGAATTATAAGATCTGTAATATTATTAAGAATCTTATAATTGAGTTAACTTTATAAAACTCTGTTACAGTACTCTAAGAAGAAAAAATATAAGTTATTAATATAAATTGGAGTACAAAATACAAGTTAGACTAGTAGAATTGAGAAGGAAATACTTATCTTAATCTAGTATAACTACAGTAAGACTTAAAAGTCTTGAGACTTGTGTCAAGTCTTTTCACACTTCTTTTAAGCCTATTAATTCAAGGTTTTAAAGTTTTGAGTTATTAGAATTTAGTGTAGAGATTAGTTAGTCTTGTCAGTTTTAGATACATTCTAATAGTTATCACCTTTTAACATATATATGTACAGTACATATATTATATATCAGATAGAATTTTTCTAAATTTAGAATCTACTTAAGCAGGTTTTAATGTATATGCTTAAAGCAATATTCAATTTTAGTTAATATTCTATTATATTATTACATACACAATTGTTAAAATAATAGTTTTAAACTAATGTAAAGTTATATAATTCAATCTATATATTTAATTTTATTAAAATTAAGTAAAAATCTAATTTATAAAAAGAGGAAACTTCAACACCTATTTATGATGCACCATTAGGTGCACTTTGCACCAAATAATTAACTGAATATTATTTGGTGTACCATAAAAATTATGTATGCACCAGCAATCCTGTCTGTAGTGCAGGCATACACAAAATTTTTGTGTTTTTAAGACTTATAAAAACAATAAATAACAAAGTATGCAGAAAATTAAAGTAATGAAATCTAATTTTAACATCAGGTTTGAAATTCATAGTGAAGAAGTAATTTTGTATAATTTATTTATAAACATTATATTTACCTTCACAGTTCAGGGACATAAATAGGCTGATTTAAAATTTTTAACCAATTTTTTATCTATTTATTGAAAAATTTTTGATCAAAAATTAAAATATAAATTTAATAAATGATTAAAAACTATAAAATAAATTTTGGTTAAAAATTAAAATTAATAATAATTGAACACATTTTTTAATGATAATTAAAAAAATTGGTCAAATTAGTCTATTTACTAACCTTGATTCACAATGAATAAACAATGCATAATTTATTGATATATTTTAATGTTAGGACTATTAGATTTTATAGTAAAATTAATATTGTTAAAACCAATAATCAATTTTTTCAAGGTATTGTTTTTGCAAAGTGCATCAGCAAATGCTTTTCCTCCTTCTACGCCAAGACTATTACGATAAAGATTCAATGAAATCAACGTAGTATTCCTACAAAGTGCATTTGCTAATGCTATTCCTCCTTCTGATCCAATATTATTAATACCAATATTCAAAGAAGTCAGCGTGGTATTTTTGCAAAGTGCAACTGCCAACACTTTTCCCCCAAAAGATTCAAGATCATTACTGTAAAGATTCAAATATTTCAACGTGATGTTATTACAAAGTGCATCTGCTAATGCTTTTCCTACACCTGATCCAAGATTATTATTGCCAAGATCCAAAGAAGTCAACGTGATATTCTTGAAAAGTGCATCTGCTAATGCGTTTCCTCCTCCTAGTCCAAGATTGTTCCAATGAAGATTCAAAGAGGTCAGCGTGGTGTTCTTGCAAAGTGCATCCGCTAATGCTTTTCCTCCATCTGACCCAAGTTTATTAAATTTAATAGTCAAAGAAGTCAGTATAGTGTTCTTGCAAAGTGCATATGCAAATGCTTTTCCTTCTTCTGAGCTAAAATTATTGTTATGAAAGCTTAAAGAAGTCAGATTGATGTTCTTGTAAAGGGCATCTGTTAATATAATTCTTTCTTCTGGTTCAAGATAATAATTTTGAAAACTCAAAGAATATAGAGTGGTATTATTGCAAAGTGTATCTGATAATATTGTTTTATTAGTAGCAGTAAGTGTCAAATGTTTAAGATTTTTGCTTGCCCGCAGAAACATTGCAGTCAAAGAGAATTTAATAGCATTTACAAATTTATCATTATATACTTTAACATTATATCCTTCATTTTCAAGCCAATTTCTGACTCCACTATGCAAATAAGAACCAACAGATGTAGTATAACTTTCATACTCAAATAATAGCCTTGGATAATTTGGAAGAATAATTTTAAACGGGATTAATAAAGCTTGCTCTTCATTATTTAATGCTAATAGATATATTCTGATAAGTTTTTTGTCACTGAAATAATTCGTAGGTTCACTCCATAATATTGGTATAATAATTCTACACCACCGACGGTTTACAAGAAGGCACGAGAATAAGGTTTTATAATCTGTTCGAAAATTATTAAATATTTCAAAAAGGCATTCGTTCGGTAACATAATCATTTTGAAAAAAATTACGATTAATCAATATTTTATATTTTAATAAGGCATTTGTTCAATACCTTTATTACTTTGAAGAATTATGAATTTAGTATAACGGATTTTTTTTTTCGGTATATATCGATATTACCTAATGAAATGTCGTGAAACGTTGTATCTATACCAAACAAGAGAAACCGTCACACTAAGCCATCGAGTACTTTAGTTTAATTAAATATTTGTAAAATAGTTATTAATACTAAAAAAAAAGCGATGTAAAAAAGTTATATAGCCAAATTTCTCAATTCATGCCTTTGGAGCTGTGCATTTGAAAGAGTGTGAAATTAACAAAAATAATACAGATTAGCAATCAGAAAGCAGAATAATATATATATGATTATATCAAGAACGGTGTTTCATGGAAGTGAAATGAAGAGTTTATCAGTTGGATCCGTTCATTTCGTGGACATTCACTTCAGCGGCAAATTAAGTACAACGGGGGTCAAATTATGAGTGCTACAGATAAAAAAAACCTGAGCAATAAAACCCAAGTTTTTTTTATTAGATTGGACTTATCATTAAATTGTCATTTAAATCACATGAATTAAGTATCACAGTAATCAGTACTGTAATATTTGATCAACGCTAATTGTCACTTTGTGCCTCTTATGAACTCAGAAAATGTGTACGTTGTGACAGTGAAAAATGGTATAATACTAAAAACTAACCTAGCGAGGATCGTTACTATACAAAAACCTAACACAAGAACTATTAAATCTAATTGAATCTTTCTCTCTACACCCTAATTGGTAGGCTTCGATCAATGCATGGATCAATTTGGTCCGAGAGTAGGGTGTTTCTTGATACGCGGCAGTCATGGGACTGGTAGCAAGTTGTCCTATTACTCTTGTACTTGAATTTGTTGGTAATGCTGACACTGATTGCTATTCTTAGGACTTTTAATATTTTCTACTAAATGGACCTCTCTACTGTTCAAGTGTGCCTGGGTTTTTGGGTTTAGAATTTCGAGTGCACGTGTCACTTTAAGGGTTTTATATAAATAAGGGTTAATTACTAATTCGATTTCTTTCTTTTACTTTCAATGCACTAATGACAACAGGTCTAATACGATCACAGGGACAAGAAAATACAACAAATGAGCACGATAGTTATGACTCAAGTGTGATACTATTACAATTCTTATTACTATAAGTTGCTAGACTCTTATTACCTGTATTGTAATACGTAACATGTCAACTGTGATTACTCAACTGGGCTGACTAAGTTGTACCGATGCAGTTCCAACTATTTGATTTCACTTTTATTTATCGGCTTATATTTACGAAAAAAACAGCGTACTGAATTTTTTCTTACTGAAGTACTTAAAATAAACTTTGAAAAAATGATATAATACTCATAAAAAAAATATAAACACAAACATCCAAAAGTTTCAGTACTACATTAATACCGATTCTCTTGCAGTATGGGTGACAACATTAATAAAATTAATAAAATGTGTTACTATACTAATTAATTTATTTAAAATAGGTGTCACTTAGTAAGATAATATGGGAGGTACATATTCGGCTATAACAAACCAGATGGAGACAGTTTCAAATATTCAAGATGAAACCAATGAAGAAATAAATACAAACACAATATATAAGATCTGGTCTAACTATAATGCAGTAATATGTAATGTAGCACAAAGCGTAATAATACACTGAGCCCAAATAAAGTACGCCGTCCACTGGTGGGATTAGTAAAAAAAACTATATGTCACCTATGCTGCAAGGAATCCAATCAAATTTGGCTTAGGCCAAATAAAAGTTTTTCAACATTATCATGTCTTATTATAAATTTAACACGATAATCTTCGGGCCAAACAGAAATACCAAGGCGTACTTTGTTTAAATCAATTGGTATTGGTTTACCATCCTCACCTAATGGTGACGCATTTTCTATTCTAAAACACCATAGAAGATGAGAGACTCCTAAGAAAAGTTCTCTCTCAGCCTATTTTTAAGATTTATATAGAAATCAAACAATATTTTTTTAATAAATAATTGAAACCATTCATTACTTATAATATTGTGCATACCATGTGAATTCCGGTGCAGAGCCTTCTTCCAGCACCAAATCCGAAATGGTCTCTGTTTTCTGAATTTCTATTTGCTAAAGCTGCACTACTTTCCGTAACTCCTAAAAATCTTTCAGGTTTAAACTCTTTAGGATTCTCATATCTTTTTTCATCCATATGAATTCCATATTGATTTAAAACTACAACAGAGTTTGCTGGAATATGATAACCGTTATATTCATCATCTTCTTCGATACCATGAGGTACACCAAGATAAATTGGTGCACAATATCTTTGACCTTCTTTGATTATAGCACGTATATAAGGAAGATTTTGCTCATCAGAAACTTCTGGTAAACGAGATTGTCCAATTACTCGATCAAGCTCTTGATGAGCTTTAGACTGAACTTCTGGATTATTAGCTAAAGTAGCACTAAGCCATGTTAAACTTGATGCAATTGTATCCTAAAAATTTTAAAATATCAATAATTTTAAGGTAAATGCTAAAATTAAAAGACGCCTTTCATGATATTTACAGTTCCAGCAGCAAAGAATGCATCTACGAGATAAATAATGTCTAGCTCATCGAGGATTCCTTCATCCTTCTTGTGAAGAAAATTTCTAATAATACAAGGCTTCTTCTCTTTATCATTCTCAACTTCTTTGATTAATTTTCCGAGAAAAGCTTCAACTTTTGTTCTATTTGCTATTATTTTATTACGTAAACTAGTATTTGGAATTAATTTCATTATGGGAAAAAATTCAGATAGTCTATTTGTTATTTTAACGAGATCCATATGCTCTTCCATTACGGTTTTAAATTCTGTAAAAAATGGATCATCAACAGTTTCTGTCCGCTTGTTTAAGCATAAGATGGTTATAATGTTTAAACTTGTAAGTTGAAACCAATTTTTAGGATAAACCCCATCTTTTGCATTGGTTGAAGCATTACAAAGGTTTTGCATAAGTATACGAAATTCATTATCGAGTAATTTAGAATTTTCTTTTACACTACGTTGTCCCAGAGCTCCATGCACTATATTTAAATAGAATTTTTTATGGTACGTTATAAAAAACTTAATATTATTTAAATAAATAAAACACAATATGTATGCTCAATAACTTACTAATGGGTGTAAGCATCCTATATCTTTCATTATATGGGCAACCAAAATAACTTTTTCCCCTGGTCAATAAATCATAAGTATAATAACTTGTTATACGAGATGAATATTTTCCGCCACCTATTATAAAAAATGTATTCAATTACCAACTAAACCATTAGCTTGTAACGAATTAATGAGAAAACTTACGCTTTTGTAAAAGTTCTCCAACAACCTTATCACCAGTTAATATAATCCAATATTGTTGACCCATGTGTACACCATAAATATCGCCTAAACTTCTTGCCCATTCTGTAAATCTATTTAGATTAACAATCAAGTCACTCAATTAATTCTTTATAAATTGATATATGTTTATTTCTCTTACTTTTTATGTGGTTCACGTCCAACATGGAAAAAGTGGCCTACAAAAAAATACCATCTTTTAAATATTTTCTTTATCTTAAAGCAATTTAGGTCAAAATTGTTGTCTAAATTTTTTTCTTTTTGCTGATACATTTACTTATTACAAACATCCCAGCTGTATCTTTTGTATTATTTCTTGCCAGCATAAAAATAAAATTCTTGTCATAAATTTTTATAATACATGATCCAAATCTTATTTTGCGTGTAAAAGCAAATTTCCATGGTTTACGATAGAACAATAGAGAATCTCAATCATATTTTATACTAACCAAAATAAAATCGACTACCTGGTGGAGTAGGAAGTTTTTTTAGGCCATGTGGTGTATTTGATTTGAAGATATAATACAAAGCAAGACACGCTAGCAAAAGATAAAGTGGCAACATTTTTTTAACTTTAGTTTCTAAACAAAAAAAGAAATTTCCTTTTTTTAAAAAAATAAAAATAAAAGGAATTTTTTTTTTTTTTAAAAAAAAAAAAAAAAGAATTGGAGTTTTTTTTTTAAAAAAAAAAACTATAATTCTCTTCTGGAAAATTTACTGGATTTGTAGACATGAAATAATATCCGAAAAAAAATGCTTATTAGGTATGGTTTAGGGCATTGTATCAATGAGTATTATTTATTGTCATTAAATTTATAAACAATCAAGCAATAATCATTGGTTGTTTATCAGTTCAGTATTAGTACAGTAGTATGCCAGCGGGCACTTAATATTTAGATAATAAAGTTATATCAATATTTTGACGATTAAATTGTACGATTACTAATAATTATTACTGATTTAATAATATAATTTAATCATTGCAACCTTCGCAATATTTATGTTCCGCGTCATTTCGGAATTTATGATTCTGAATTGGCATGTGTCATTTGTTGATTGTGAAATGTCATAGCGATAGGCTGTTTTTAGAATCTGTATCCATTTACCCGATTAATAAAACTGAGTTTATTAAAACCGCCACAGTTGCTATATCTCCAAAAACTGACTAAGAAACGGACAGATATATTAAGTAAAAATGGTCAGAACCCCAAAACCTTATGCTAACCAAAATTTGAACCTTCATATCTACCTCTTTTTAGTCTATAACCACACCTTAACCTTAAATTTTATAGTAAAAAATATATATAGTGTTGAACAACACTGGTGCGCGCTTTAGTAAACTTGAATAAAAAAAGGCGAAAAAAGCATTTAGGAAAAATTAAAAAAGATCGAAAAAATTAAATAAATAAATAAATAATAAAAAAAAGTAAAGAGATAAAAAGCGAATACAAATGAACTATTTTATGTTCACCTTTATGTTATATATTAGTCAAATCTTCATATATTAAATGAATATATTCAAATATTCAGATATAATTTAACAATTTAGTTAAAGCTTTGCATCCCAGCGTAGAACAAATGAATAGCTCCGGATTTTCTTGAACATAATGAATACTTTTTTCTACAAGAATATAATTTGATGCTGCCACAATTTGTTTTTTGGCAATAGTAGGTATCTGGTCGGGTCTTTTGGCTTAAACCAATAATATTAGGAGAATTTACAAATAAGGGCCAAAAATGAAAATAATTACAAATAGAGACCCGATATTTGAAAATTATTACAAATGGGGGGCTCCACAGCAAAAGGTGGTGGTGGGCCAAAAAAAAATTTTTGGCAATACTTTATTTTTGCAAAAATTAGATCATTTAGAACACAATATTAAAATGCTACAGAAAAAATTTTTTTGGCCCATTACCACCTTTTGCTGTGGAGCCCCCCAAATAAAGGCCAAATATATTATCAAAATTGCTAGCCAATTTAATCATAACGGTATCATGTTTAATTATCTTACTGTATTTCGTGATTAAATAAGTGTTTAGGAGTTATCGTTCATTATTTAGAATTACAGTCAGACCTCCCTATACAGTAGTCACTTTCTCTATAATCTCATTTGAGAGACGAAAAGGGAAAACCTGTAAATCATCTCACTCAATGAGTGAAATGATTTACAGGTTTTTCCTTTTTGTCACTCATTTGCATATAATCAGAAACTTTTAAACCAACTTATATAATGCATATAAATTTAGCCTTTATATAAGCACAAAATTCTTGAAACCAATGGCGTGATTATAGAGAGTTTGACTGTAAAAAACAAAAGAAAAATAATTCCGACTGACTGACTGGATCTTTGAAATCCATGTGATGTAAAATGAAAAATTAGCACCGTGACCTAACGTGCTTATTTCTCCAGGCTACCATGTATGATATCCCAGTATCCACTTTTAGAACTAACACAATTTTCAATATCACAAGGTCGAGGTATTGTTATATCTTGTGTTTTGAATGTATTCATAAAAGTTGTAAGTTGGATCATCTTTACGCTTGTTAGCTAAAATAGTAAAAAGCTTGAACTGGTTTCATTTGTAAAACAAACAGCAACAGAATTCAATAAAATAACTGTTCAGAGCTGAATGAACATTTTCCAAGTTTGTAAAAATCATACTGATCTGTAACTTTGTATCTAACATTTATGAACAGGTTTTAAGAAATATATATATAAGAATTTCAATAAAATAAATTATATATCTTATGCATTAATAATCAATAATTATATTCAAATTATCGAAACGGGGCTAAATCATAGATTTTTAAGCGTATAAATATTTTGGGCCCTTATTTATAATAATTTTCAAATATCGGGCCTCTGTCTGTAATTATTTTCATTTTGGACCCTTATTTGTAATAATTTATATTTCATTTTCGGCCCTTATCCGTAAATTCCCTAAATTTAATTAATTGTTCGTCACTATACTTGGATCCTTAATCAGAGCACAAAATCTATTGTAAAATTTCGGAGATTTCCGTTTCGTCATGACGATGATAACATATTGTGATACCGGATATCGTGACCGATCACGTGAAAAATGCACGAAATGCAATAAGTGCAATAAATGTAATAAGTGTAATAAATTACATT